AGCTCTTGGGCATGGAAGAAGTGTTCATTGCCAAACCATTCGGATGGGCTTCAATTCGAACATTCACATTGCTAATGCTCTTATCTCAATGTACTGCAAATGTGGGGATGTTAAAGATGCGCTTTACATATTCAAAAATTTGGATGGCAAAGATAATGTATCTTGGAACTCCATGATTGCAGGGTATGCACAGCATGGCCTTGCGTCACAGGCTATTGATCTTTTTGAAGAAATGAGGCAGCAATGTGTAGAACCCGATGCCATTACTTTACTAGGCGTGCTCTCTTCATGTCGTCATGCCGGTCTCGTTCAAGAAGGCCGGCGTTACTTCAATTCAATGATCAAAGAACATGGTATTCAGCCAGAACTAGATCATTATTCATGCGTTATTGATCTTCTTGGCCGGGCTGGTTTATTGGAAGAGGCTCGATGTTTCATTGAAAATATGCCTACTCGTCCCAATGCCATTATCTGGGGCTCACTGCTTTCTTCCTGTAGGGTTCATGGGAGTGTGTGGATCGGCATTGAGGCTGCAGAGTGCAGGCTATTGCTGGAGCCAGAGTGCGCTTCTACCCATGTACAATTAGCAAACCTGTATGCTAGCGTGGGATGTTGGGATGACGCAGCAAGAGTTAGGAAGTTGATGAAAGATAAAGGGATTAAAACAAGTCCTGGGTTTAGCTGGATTGAGATTAGTAATGAAGTTCACAGGTTTAGAGCAGAAGACTGTTCAAACCCCAAAATGATTGAAATTATTGCTGTCTTGTATAGTTTGGTAGACCACAATAAGACTTTACGCTATGAGCCTGAAATGCAAGAGGAAGAGATTGATGATGCTTTATACATATAAGTTATAACTGTGTGACTTGTAAAATGGCAGATTGTTATATTTTTTTCCCTGTTACATCCATATACCCATTCTCATTTGAACTGATGATGGCAAACTTTTTGAGAACAATGTTTCTCGTTCACCGCCAATTTTTTTCTTTATTGAAAAAACGAATAAAGAACAAAATATTCTTAGCTTCCTTAAAACGTGCGAAAAAATGGGGAAAGAAAAGACATCTTATAACAAGCAAATGTTAACATGCTACATAACAGCATATACCGAGTTCAGATGATACTACAAAATCCTATCCTCATTTTATCATGTCTCAAAGCAATGCTCCTGACAAAGGGAACCAAGAAAGCAGAAACTGTTACTGGAGAACACGAATCGAAACTTCACCATTCAGGCAGAAGCCTTTGTTCTTCAAAAAGAATGCATTCATTGCCTCAGTTTGAGTACGAAAGCGAACAGTTGCCCATTTAGTGGGCTCTTGGGAAGGTCTGCCCAAAAAAAAAACATTTTTTTAAAAAAAGATTTAGCAAAGTGAAATCAATTTAAGAATGATATTTATGAGTTTATATTCTTTGAAATCTACTAGGCATACCTGAAACTTAATTGGAGGGAAGACGAATCATATTCACAACCAGACAGAAAACGATCTACATCTTCTGGAACTGCATTAGGAGGGATTCCTTGCAATAAAACCTGGTAACAGCAGGCAAGTCCATTTAAAGTGTTTTCAGAAATATCTTCGTCATGGGATAACAAATTGATTGTAAGCTAAAGATATATTGGATTCTAATTCAATCACCAAAACAAAGTATCACTTGTTCATGGCATATACTTGGGGGGAGACTCAAAATTACAAAGACAACATATAATATGTACATACGGCATCCCCGGTTTACCAAATTTCTTGCAAACATACTAAAACAACGGTGTCCAGGAACCCAAGAAAACTGTACAGTATCAAACTGCCTATGGCATATATAGCCAGCCAGTAGAGTTTGAATTAGCCTCTAATGCCGAATATATGGATTCCTCATGAACAATATATTAACGGTGTTTAAGGCATCAAGAATATTGTCCTCCTACTTGGTCAATACTATAACAAGTGATTTTTTTGAACAAACTTACTCCATTAAAGGGGAAAAACACTTGGTTAAAAACAAAAAGCATACAACAGAAAACCTTAGACTTACCGTTTTTCCATCATGGGGAGTAAGAGAGTCCCATTCCGCTCGATTAGCCTGTCATTCATAAACCAAGCATTAGCACACTACACCACAAAATAGGTAAGCAACAACTACATCTTATCAAAGCATCATGGCATGGCAGCATTACCCTCTCCAATTTAAACAGGCGACCCTTTTTGCCAATCACCCTCATTGCGTTATCATAGGCTTGCCGAGACGGGAATTGCACCAACCTAATAACAAAAAAATGCAAATCTAAGCATCAGGAAATACATTTTATTGGTAGCATCTAATGAATTCATTGCATTGCATACAGGAAATTAAAAGCATCAACAATTGATGTGAAAAACTATCTTTCTACTCGCAAATAAACAAATTAAACAACACGCAATTTACATTCCCATCGCCGTAAACCACCGATTATAATCCATTTTAACATCATCCAGACTCAAATTACAGCCTTCCAGCAAATTCACGACGTCTGTCTTCAGCGTATTCCTTTTGATTCCAAGCAGCTTCCCATACACCGATCCTGAAAACAGCACATAAAACACATTGCCACGTTTGTCAATGAAATTAGAACCCAAAACCCATAGAACCCTAACTTGTAAATGCAAAATGACGAAAATGCCCGCGGCAGCTGAGTCTGATACCTGTGCTTGGGGTTTCGAAAAATGATTCGGACGGCGAAGACTCCTGAGGCTTATCGGATGGCAAAGACTTCTGAGGTTTATCGGACGGCGAAGACTCCAGCGGCTGATTGGACGTTGAAGAGTCCTGAAGCCGGTTTTCGGCTTCCGTCGAAAACCGTCTCACCGGTTCGCGCAGAAGCGAAGTGAGGCCGAGGTTTTGCGCCATGGACGTACGGACGGAGAGGCTTGACATGATTGAGGTTCGAAGAAGACCCAGCTTTGACATCGTTGCTTCTTCTCGAGCTTTGGAGATTCACAGTGGACTGGCTTCAGTGTCTATGACTCTACGCTACAGAGGATGGTTGCGCTCGGCTATACTCTTTATTAAATAAATCCCGAGTATAGCCGCTTTAAATATAAACGTATAGCCGTCTGGCTATACTATTTATTTTATTAAAAAAATCCCGAGAATAG